CTACTTCCAAACGAGACGTAAAATTCTGGACCCACTTCCGTTTGTCCGTAAGTCTCTGCAATCCATGGTAGCACGTCGCCAGTAGTCATTGCCGCATGTACAAGCTCTCTTCTTCTTGTAGAGACAACAAGGAAAATATGGCAGAACCAACAATATAAGGGATCGATACACGATATATATATCGTAATGAATGTATTGCCGCGTTATTATTCATACTATATATATCCGATGCCGCAAACTTTGAACTATCATTCTTCAAAGTCGGCTTAGTCGACCGAACGACCTTATTTAGCCCTTCCTGTATTTAACGGTACCGGTATATACTGGAGCCAGCAGAGAATACCTTTTGCGACTCTTTTCATCGACCGCACTCTTACTGTTAGCAGCATTCCACCGCTATGCCACAATTGCAACTTCCACTGTTCAAACTGTCGTTGGCAATCAAATGGAATGTCCTACCTTGTCAGGAGCAAGGCTGGAGAATGAATCAAGATTGGATTCTTGGCGGCGGCATGCTGCTGGCCCAATCCTGCTTGTTCGGACGAGACGATTGGGAATCCCAGCAATCCTTTGTGGATTTGGCAACTTTATTTTCAACTCCCCTTGACAATTCTGGGTATTCTGATTCGGTCTTTTTGAATCCAATGGCATTGGCGCTTTTTGAAGACCCAGCATGGTATCAATCCAATTATACCTTCGTCTACTCCAAATCAACCTTTAGCTTGGGCGCTGGCCACTACTTTGTGGAGGAAATTTGTTTGAATCGTCAGGAAAACGAAAACAATGGAGGAATGGTAGCTGGTGTTGGAACTGAGATTCCGAATCGTTCCAAATAGGGGTACTTGCCTTTTGCAACGAGAACAGTGGGGCTTTCCCAATGTGACACGCAAGATGGCTTGTACAGTAAATGGTTTTTCATTGACCTTGGACAGTGAAGTATTGAAGCTGCCACCACATAACCTTCCAATATCTTTCCTCATCGCAAATCTTGGAGAACCTCGGAAATGTTGGACTGTCTCTTTGTATGATACTGTATACCTTTTAGTCTTCCGTTTGTGTTTTGAATCCCGGGTGACGATGAGTCCCGCACATATCCTGAGACCCGCAAATTTTTTTGTGATTTATTTTGAACATCACAATAAAACACGCATCACACAAACGATATATGACCGACCAAATGACCGCCCCAGATTCTATTTTGGTCAGTGGCATCACTTCCGAACCT